ATTTTACTAATTGCACTGCTGCAGCCATAGAACCTTTAAATAATAAATATTTATTTATGTTACTCTCATTGATACATTCTAAAATAATATATAATTCATTATATTATAATTTAATTTTACCTCCAGTTGCCAATAAATCATCAACAATTAGCACTCTAGTTCCTTTATTAATAAATTCTGTTTGTAATTCAAAAGTGGCCTGTACAAATAAAGGCAATTTATTTATATATGGAAAGTAATTGATACATAATCAATGTTGTTTAGAATTAGGATACATACTTCTCCATATTCTAATGTATACTTCTGTTGTATGACTTTGCCTGGAAGTTTACCCTTTTTTCTAATGGGTAAAAAAGGCTTATCCAATTCCATGGAAATTATAGGACCGAAGAGGAAGCCACGTGAATCCAATCCTACAACTAAATCGACTTCGAGAAATAAAATATGTTCCATAATTAAATCTTTCATTGCTCGTAATGCTGTGATATTATTAATCACGCCAAATATATCTCTGAAAATGAATAATTTATATAATATAATATATATATAAAAATATATATATATATATAATAGGATCAAATTAATCCTTGATCTTTTATTAATTTTAAACTCTTCTTATCTATTTACCGAAAAATGATCCCAGGTTCGGGAAAATCAGGGTAACTTTTTATAGCATTTTTCAGTATCTGCAATTTATTGTTCTTGTCCATTGTAATAATTGTACAATATAGTAACTTAAAGTTATGGTAGCACTAATAATATAAAATGTGTCAATATAACTGATAATCTTAGAAAGATATTAATTTGTTAATAAAATTTATAATTTTTTAAAATTATTTTCATAAGGCACTTTTAACGATGGCAAATAAAAATTCTGATACTGATAGGTAAAAAAAAAATGATTATTCTTTTAACGTGTTTCAAACAATGTACATTTTGCAAACAGGTGGCCGACATGGCCGTCTTACTCGTACAGTACACATACTGCACATAAAGTATAATTAGGTAATAAAGTATAATAAGGAATTAAGAATAAAGATTTCAATCTATCAGAAATCGGATACACGGGAATAAATGATTTCTGATAGGTTGGAATCGTTATTCCTTATTCCTTCTATTGTGGCTGCATCATTACGGTTTCTGATAGGTTAAAATTTGTTATTTCCTGTTCTTATTGCCTATGCACACAGCGCCAGCATTAGGCGTAAAAGAGAAACTATGATGAAAAATAAAATGAAAAATTCTTTTTATCCGAGGATAATTGAAGAACGATGACATTATCGACAATTAATAAAAATTTGCGATTATTAACCATATCACTGAGGAGAGTACCTAAATATTTGGATCATTTTCTTGAAGGTGACGCTATATGTATGTTTATTTTAAAAATTTCCGCATAAAGATTACAAATAACTTCAGCTGATGATTGCAACAATGATAATGTATTCTTATATATAAGGTGATATTTCAGAAAACATTATTTATTCTACATTTATTAGAAAGAGAGGATAACAAGTTGGCCCAAAGATATATTAAATAAATGTTTATTTATATACTCTCGATCATTGCTTGTGAAAAGCACTCTCGATATTTAGTAAACAAACCGACGAAATAATTATAAGATATAATATTATATAGTAATTATATATGTATAGTAGTTATATATGTATATTTATTACTGTACAATAGTACACGCTATGTTTGCGAATATTAAAAACAATAAAAAAATAACATATTTACAGCATGTATAACATTAATAAAAAATTAATTAGTACATTGTGTGTGTGTGTGTGTGTGTGTGTGTGTGTGTGTGATTACAAAATGAGAAGATACCTTCCCTCAGGGTTAAACACTATTGTATGTGTGTTCTGTCTCTATACTAAATTAT